CTCTCTCAAACCTCTCCCCTGAGCCACGAATAGCCAACTGCTCATCAAGCCTACTGTCACCCTAAAAACCCAGCTCCGCTCTCCTGAGCGGCACCCCGCTTCATTAACTCCTCCTTCCCAGCTTCCTCAACCCCTTCTGCTTGCAGAGTGTTGATTTAGGGGTTATACATACATTATATCTGTCGGGGAAATGTGCAGATATGGAATCCATGTGGTGGGGAGAGGCGAAGAGAGATTAAGGAAGAAGAGACACTTGAAGTGAAGGCCAATCATGATTATCTCTGAAGGTAAAGCTTTATCCACGAGTGCTGGGAGAGAGGGAGGGTTGAAGTGAAGGTCGTGTGTGCCCTGGTGGGTGGAGAGGCAGGCAGCCACCAAGATGCCCCAGAACACTCTTCTCTGAATAGAAGTATGTCAAGTTTAAGGGGCAGGCCACCCATTCAACACTTATTGGATGGTGACTGAACTCCGGGCTCTGTGCTCAATGTCGCCACCCTCAGGCAGATCCTGGTGTGGCAGGAGGAGATGACAGGCTCATTCTAGGATCCTGGGGGAGAGCAGAGGGATGACGTGGGAAAATCAATGAGCCAGAGCTTAGTAAGTGAGTTAAATCAACGGGTGCACCCGGGAAAGCTGTCTCCAGCAAGAAATGGCTAAGCAGGGGAGCAGCTGGGGAAGGTGGAAGGAAGAAGAAGCAATGTAGGCAGGGAGAGTACCGTGTGGGAGGCTGTAATGGTGAGATGAGAGAGAGGAAGCATTTAGAAACGGAAAGAAAGGAGAGAGAGAGAGAGAGAGAGAGAGAGAGGCCAGAGATAAGGCGGGGAGGGGGTTACTTCCTGCGCCCTCAGGGGAGGAGGGGCCTACAGCACCTGGACAGTGAGGAGCCATAGATGACCCTGAAGAACCTTCTGAGGGCTTGAGGGGATTGCTGAGGGTCAAGAGAAGCCTCCCCCCGTCATGTGTGTGTGTCTATAGTGACCTAGAGAGAGATGCTGGACATAGATGGGCAGGAGGAGCACGGAGGTCTTGTAACTAGAGTGAGATTCTGGAGACCCAGTGAGACCATCTGGAGTAAGATGGGTTCACCAGGTGCAGGGACCATCTTGGGGAAGACTAGGATGCTTCCTTCTTTGAATTCGGCAGCTAGTGACTTTATTATCAGGAGAGACAGAAGGCAGGTGGAGTTAATAGGGGGACACTAAGTGTCTCGGGAGAGGGGAGCTGGAGATGACTTGGGTGCTGTGGTGAGGACAGTGTCCTGGATGCTGCGGCTCAGGGGAGAGACTTCAGAGAGTTTTAACTGCCTCTTCAAAGCAGCCAATTTCAGAAAGTTTGTGATACCTGAGCAAGGGGCTTTCCTGCAGGAGGGTCCTGAAAAGATGGCTCTCAAGATGCTGACGTTGGCCATTTGGGGTGAGAGTTCCAAGAGGGGGTGCTTTCTGATTTCTCTGTGGGGTGGGAGGAAAGACCTCCAAAGAATGGAGAGGTCACAGGCAGTGACAGGCTAACGTTATTTTAAGAGGGTGTCAAAAGCTCTCCTGTGTATATCGGGGAACACTACACTCAGCCTTGAGACCATGTAGACGGTCCAAGGTCACAGTTTATGGGCCGGTGCCTACGCTCCAGCAGGGTGCTGAAGCTTTGTGAGTTCATGCCTGCCTGGCCAGGCTTTTCCAGGACCCTGCTCCTTACCCAGAAAAACCTCTGCATCCTGCTGTGTCTGGTAGGTCGCCGCTGAGCTGTGACCTTCCAGGCAATGCGGAAGAGAGTCTTGCCCACATCTTCCCAGCACAACCCTTCCTAGCATCAACTTTCTGTCTGTACCACCAACCAGTCCTGGAGACAAAAAGGACCCATGGTTTCTGCCATAGATTTCCCATTGACAGTCTCTTTCCTAGGCCAAACGCTAGGGATGGTGCGCTGGCTATGTGAACATCGGGGAATTGGGGAATTACCAAGTCACCTGGATGGAATATGGACCCTAAGAAAGTGAAAGTCGGCTTGGTAAAGTTTCTCATTCTCTTCAGTTCCTCTACCCCAAGGCCCTTGCCTTCCACCACGCCTGTGGCTGACTATCCTGGAGCACCGGGGACAAGAATGAGTGCAACGGGGTCGGGGTGGGGTTAGGGGTGATGGTTGTGAGTGTAGGTAGGTGAGGGGTAGAGAAAATCTTCAGCAAAGGAGTGATCTTGCTCTCTCCCAGCACCTACGCTCTGCTTCTCTTAGACCACCTGTAAACGGCCTATTTTTGTTTCGTTTTTTTTCTGAGACATCTTGCTATGTTACACACTGGTCTCTGATTCCTGAATTTCAGCATCCTCCAGCCTCAGCACCTTCTACACAGTGGTGCCACACAAGGCCTACCTGTCAGTCTTTCCCCAGGACCTGCATTGTGGAAGTTGGAAAAGGAAAATGCTTCTCAAACCTATTCTTGTCACAACGGGAGGCGATGACTGGCTTCCAAGGCACACAGGTGACCTCCATGCAACCTTAGAGAAGCCCAGGGACCAGGATGCTAAGTCAGCTTCGCATTCTCATTTCCATGTAGGCACTCCATGGACTGTACTTTTCTCCTCACGTTTTGGAATTGCCTACTAAGTGGCTGCTCATCCTCCTGCTGGCCTGGCTGAATCCTTCCCCAGTGGGTCTTCAATAACTTATGGCTATGTTAGGAAGCTCTATGGCACCACCAGGGAAGGCCAGGATCCAGGGCTCTGTGTCTGTGCCCCTTGCCACCTCCTGAGAACTACATCTAGAATTTGCAGGTTCTTAGTGGGGTCCAAGATTCTCTGAGATTGTATGGGAACATTTTCACATTGATATATTTTGGGGATTGCTGTCTTTCAGAAGGGGGAAGAGGTTGAAACAGGGCCTTACTATTTAGCACAGGCTAGTTTTGAATAAAAATCCTTATGCCCCTGTCTCCTGAGTATTGGATTGTAGACATGCACCACCACACCCAGTTCTAGAATTTCCCTTTTATTATCAAGAAATCTTTGCAGTATGAAGGAAGCTGAGTAGTTCAGCTGCCCCAGCCCTTGCTGTGTATGTGGCAGAACCAAGGCTTTGAAAGAAAGAGAAGATTCCTAGTGCAGTGGCTAGTCCAGTATGGACAGAGTTGGGGAGTGAGGTCTCCCCTTCGCAAGCACCTGTGGGAGGCTGTTCTTACTCCTCCTCCTCCTCTTGGTCCCACATGCCAGCAGCTGTCACGTGACACTTATGCAGCCTCAGTCCACTTCAGACCTGTGAACTCTAGAGGGGCACAAAGCATTTCACGGGATTAACATGAGTAGAAATTAGTTGTCCTTTTATATCGGTGAGGGGTTGGCTCCAGGACCCCACTGAATGACGGAATGCATGGCAAATCCCTTAAACCAAGTGGTGGGCTATTTACGTGGAACCTGCGCGAATCCTCTGCCATATTTTAAACTCTAGAAAGCCTACTCAGGAGCAAATGCTGGGAGGCTGTCAGACCGTTTAGGAAATCATGACAAGGGAAAAGTCTGCAGCTGTGTAGTAGAGGTGAGCTAGTTTTCCTAACTAGCCTCCAGCTGAGGCTGGAGTTTTAGAAGCCAGCCTGAGGTGTCCTGTCCATCCAAGCAGCCTCCTGTGTGTCAGAGGAGCCCTTTCGATTTCTAGATCACAGAGGGTAAATGATAGGAGGCTGAGGCCTGCAACCAGATGCCCAAATTCACATCCTAGCCCCATCTCTTGCTCATGACCCGGGGCACCAGCCTCCATTTTCTCTTCTGATAGATGGGGCAGCTGTTAGGGTGGGTGAGGACCAGCTGAGCTGTAGCGTTCAGGACAGCGACGGTGTCCTAGGGGAGAGCACTGCACTGTGGAGCCCGTGTGTAGAGGTGATACTCCAGCCAGGGAGCCTCTGGAAGGGTCTGGAACACTATACCAAAGGGCTTGGTTTTGTCTGTGGGTGATGGGACCACGTTATTGTTTCAAAGAGGGAATGACACTGTCCGGGACAGAAGGGCTAGAAGCCAGATGGATTGTGGTGCCACCGGCCAATTAGGAGGATGCAGGCTCCCTGTTCTCTGGGGAGCCCGGTCACCCTTTCTCTTCACAAAGCCCTAACTCTGGGCCTTTTCAGTTAACCACTTCTGCCACTTGGGATTCCCACTTGTCCCTTCCCGCTCTCCTGTCAGATGGCAAGATGGTCCACTCTCTTACCCCCTCTTTTATCTGGTATATCCCACTAGAAGGTCAGCCATGGACAGAGGTTTGGTCCTTGCTGCAGCCCCAGAGTCCAGCACAGTCCGGCACACTGTGTGCTCAATGACCATTTGAGTGGATGAAGAATTGGGGGTTGGTGTGGGGAGTTCACCATTCCTTCTGCTCAGCTCCCTGGGGCACCCCGCGGCTGTGCCCCATCAGCCGTGAAGCCAGAAGAGTCTACTGAGCAATAACGACTTCAGCTCCCTCAGGTAATCAGTTCTTGTGACACCCCTTCGTCTGTCCATACACAGGCTTGTTTACTCTTTATTGGGTGTTATGCCACCCCCTGCACCCCAGTTGGTGCTGGGTCCTCCTCTCCAGGAACCTCCACACAGGAGTTGCTTCCTCCCTCTTGTCACAGTTGGAATGACCCGCTCTAGCTGTGTGTGCTTGGGCCAGCAGCCTGGCCTCTCTGATCCTGGGTGTTCTCCCTGAGTGTAAAGTCATCTCAGACCGTTAAAGCTGATGTGAAGGCAACACCACCAACTGGCACACACCGGCCAGTTATTTGGAGAAGAGGGAGGGGCCTCAGAGAGGTGCCGGGTTCAAAGAGCTGCCGGGGGGGGAGGGGGGGGGGGCGTTAGGAGTCCAGGGCTCTGGGAGAGATGGGGATTGGGGGAGGGGTGTCTGAGAAGGGTATGGTCTTGCAATTCTGCTCTGCAGACTAATGGAGAATGGCGCTTCCCCGGGCCCCTGGAAGCTGCTCCCGCCTGCCTCACGCAGGCTGCAGAATCCAGGCTCTGCAGAATGACCAGAGGCACCGGGCCAGGCAACGTCCGCAGCTCTTTAATCTCCTCCAGGCCGGTCCGCCCCACCCGACCCAACCTCCTGCTCCCCGTCTGTCTGGGTGGAGGCCTAGGACCCCCTCTCCCGGGCTCAAGGACTAAGGCACCAGGTGGCTTGAAGCAGGCCGGCGGAACACGGACTCACAAAGGGGACACCGAGGACGGACGCAGACAAGCGTGGTGGACATTGGGCGTGGGCGAGGCTCCCACAGGCTCTGGGCGCATCCCGGGTGCGGGAAGCCCTGGCTGCTGGCGAAGGGCTGTGGCGTGAGGACAGGCGGAGCGGCGGGCAGGGCGCTCACTTGTCGCCCTTGCGCGACAGGCACCGCGGGAGGCAGGAGAAAGTCTGTTTGACGCGCGCCAGCAGCGGCAGCGGCCGGTGGGCTTCCCGCGGCACCAGGCGCTGCAGGGTCCCCTCGGAAGCGGCGGAGGATGCTGTGGCCGACGTGGCGGAGGTCGCCGAACCCTGGCGACAGCGCTTGCAGAGAGGCAGCAGCGTGCGCAATTCCTCCTCGTCGCGGAACGGGTTCTCCCCGAAGCGCTCCTCCAACTGCCGGCGAAGCTGAGGCGGGGAGGGGAAGCGGAGCGCAGGTCCAGCTGCCACCAGTTTGCCACCTTCACCCTCACCCCCTCCCCACACCTAGCTCTTTTAAGTTCCCTGTCTTCATTCTAAGACTTTCCGATACTCACCAAGGCCCTAACCTCTTCCTAAATTCCCCTTACCCTTGACACTCCATCTTCCAGACTTGCCCGCTGCAAACCACACTAAACAACTTCCCTTGAGCCTCTGTCCCCATCCCTGGACTCAAAGACACCACACACCTGGGGTCTCTTTCTTGTCTGTTCCTGGCCTAGTCCAGTGCCACCTTCTGAGAACCTTCCAGCCACTCCATTCCTTTCTCTCCCTCCCTTTCCTAGCTGGCTGAAATATCAAGCTGACATTTCCATGTGCTGTCTCCCCAGAGTGCTAAGAGAAGGGACACCTTTGGCCTCAGAAAGACTGTGGGTGGAATAGGATACAGACCCCAAGTGGACAAACGCTGGACTGCCTTGTGTTGGGGACACCTGTGTCGTCACAGTCTCGTTCATAAACATCTAAACGCTTAGTTTAAAAGACAAACAAAACAAAACCTGGAAATCCAGACCAGGTGTGGGTTACCTATGGCGCAATCCCAGTGCTGGGGAGTCTGAGGCAGGAGGATTGTGCGTTTGTGACCCAGGTGAGAGTGGAGGGAGGGGGCAGGCACAGGGTGGATCACCTCCAATGGGTGCTAAGATCAAGGGTGCTTCCCAAGCCTCTCGCAGCCCCAGCCCTGCACAGTGAAGCTTTGCACATAGTCCCTACCTACCTTCTGGGAGTTTCCCCAGCCAAACTCCTCAAGCTGCTGCCTAAAGCCTGGGTTTGGGTTGGCGATGGGCCTGGTGGACTTGATGGCTTCGAGTATTTCCCGCCAGCCTAGTCCCGTCACTGTCATCACATAGGCGATCACAATGGTGGTACTTCGAGATATACCTGCAAAGCTGGATCCCGGACAACCGCAGGCTCCAGGAAGGTCCCCTCCCTTCCACATGCCCTCCCTGCCAGGTCCCTTGCCTCACTGGTCCTTCCCCATGCTTGCCCCTTGAGCTCCAACCATGGGGAACCTGCCAGCATCTGCCTTCCTTGTTCTAAGATTTGCCTGTGACATCTCCCTTTCCTCTGAGCAGCACTCTCTCCCCCCCACTCCAAGGGACTGGCTGAGACATCATTCAACAAAGTTCCCCTGATAGTGTTTTTGTTCAGGCACTAGGGTATGGTCAGGAAAAAAAAAAAAAACAACAAAACCTCTTGGCCTCTTCTGCCCTGGAGCTTATGGTATTGTTTGGAGAGACAGTCACTAACCAAAGCAGCAATGAGTCTGGGGCTTGAAGAGCCACGTACATAAGTAGAGAGGTTTCTTAAGTGGGGGCAGGAGAGGTGCGGGGGAGAGGCTCCCTAGGAAGGGACATCAAGCTGAGTCTTGAAAGACAGGGGTAGACAAGAATGTTGTGGAGTTGGAACAATGGGTGATTGTGGAGGGCTTGTTCGGTGTGCACGAGGCTGAGTCCAATTGCCCACACCACGAGAAAAAACAAGACAAAGTATTCTAAGAAGAACGTGCAGCAATCACGAGGTGGAAGGCGGACTGTGGACTTGAACATGGCTGAATACGAGGAGAGCTAGGTCATTTTTTCCTTTCCTTTTCCTTTTTTCTTTTTATTTATTTATTTTTTTTCTGAGACAGGGTTTCTTTGTGTGGCCCTGGTTGTCCTGGAACTCACTCTATAGACCAGGCTGGCCTTGAACTCACAGAGATCTACCCATTTCTGCCTTCCAGGTGCTGGAATTAAAGGCATGTGCCACAACCATCCAGCTGGAGACCTGGGTCTTAAGGGAACTAGTCCCTTGGCCCCAGCCAGAGCCCTTGGTGAGATGTCATGGGATGAATGCATCCTTTGGGTCAGGGACTCTGGGGAAGACTCAGCCCGAAGTCCTAGCCATGCACTATGGCCTCAAAGTGAAGAGAAATGAGGACAGAATGAACAGGTTCCCTATGTGACCCCACCCAGCTCCCTCAATAGCCTGTTGACATGGCATTCATTCCCCCACTTGACAGATAAAAAGACTGAGTCTCAGAAAGACACAGCTGCTGGGCTAGGGCCATCTGGGTGCCAGAAGTGATGAACCTCTGGGTGGTCTGTCCCGAGGGAATGTCAGCAGTGTGACAGGCTGGAGGGAACCTGCCCCATGGGATATGCATGCGTGGGGTGAGGGCGCCCCTCAGAACTCACCAGTGTACAAGGCAGTTACCCCCGTTGAGGCGGCAACCATGGATAAAGTTGACACATTCTTTGAAGTGCTTTTTGCTGGGGAAGAAAGCAACATGGATGGGAATGCTGGGGTGGGGGAGGCAGTCTCTCAGGAGCTGTCTTCCCCTCCCTTACAGTCAGCGAGGGATAGAGACCCTGGATCCTCAGTGCTCTGCTTGGGAACGAGGTGGCACAGCAAGCAGCGAGAGAGGCTGGCTCCACCATCTAGGTAGGCACCTCTCCAGCAGACATGAGGAACGAGCTCCCACTACGGGTATATTCTGGCCTTTCAGGGATGTGGGTATGGGGAGAGCGAGGTGCCATTCTCTGGGGCCTGTAACTGGAGGACCTGGAAGGATAGTGAGCCGTGGACTGGAAGAAGGGGCATCCCAGTCTTGAGATATCAATGCTAGCAAACCAAACAAAACCCCCGTTTTCCAGAGTCCCTGCAATTACCAGGTCCAGTCCCATGTCCTCAAGGTTACCTCATCTTTGCAAACCCTCGATTCATCACATCCTGCCGTTATGTAGCTCAGAGAGGACAAGTGATTTTGCCAAGGTCACACAGCAGTAAATGGCAAAGCCTGGCTGCGAACCAGGTGTCTTAACTGCAAGCCAGGATGCAGGTCAAATCTGACCCTCGAATCTGCTGTGCGCTGGGTCCCAAGAGACAGGACACTTTCTCCACGTGACAGTGAAGCAGGCTGAGGCTCTGGAGAGAGCTAGTGGGGACATGTTGCAAGGGCATGGTGAAAACAGTCTCAGTCTGTCTCTGGGTGCCCTTTCTGGTCTGAATGCTCTGTGCCCTCACCCCCACCCCAGGGGCAGCTCTTCGTCAGGTGGTGGCCCATCCGGGAGGAACTTACATGGGTACCTCAGGAGCATCAGCGACTGAGATTCGGAGGTACGTGATATCCTGCAGGGATAAAACACATACTCAGACGGTAGGGCCTTACCTGCACCCCTCCCCGAGCTGCCACGGCCAGGGTGACCCCAGACCGTTCCTGCTCCTTTCTGGGCCACCACTGTTTTCTGTCCACAAAGAGCAGGTACTGTCTGTATGGAACTGTCAGCTGTGTCTGTGAAGATAGTGTCGTCACCCACAGGTGACGTGCACGTGAGGACTCAGAAACTGGGAAGGCGTTTCTTCAAGGATTCTCTTCCTGGCCGGGATTGCAAAGTTATACAGTGAAAACGGCAGAGCTCATATTTCTTGAGGAGTGTGAACTCTGAAAAGAACAGTCAGGCATAGTGACCTGACCACAGACCTTTAGTCCTTGCACTCAGGAGGCTGAGGCAGGAGGATGATGAGTTAGAGGCCAGCCTGGGCTACCACATTAAGTCATGTCTCAAAAGAAAAACAAACAAGCAACACACACACATACACACCACCACCGCCAGACACCACCACCAGACACCGCCACAACCACCACCACTACCAGACACCACCACCACCAGACACCAGCACCACAACCACCACAACCAAAACCACCACTACCACCACACCACCAGACACTGCCATCAACAACAGTTTCATGAACTGGTCTGATAGGCTTTGCTTCCTGCTGAAATTCCACACAAGGATATTTCTGTCCACGTCCCAAACATTTTACTACGATTTCTCAAAGATTATGCTCAACACTTTGTTACTTCACACAGCCCCTTTCAGGTGTCTGGTCTGCTGCTGGCTATGGCTCTTGAAGAACACAGGACCTGCTCTCTTGTGTCCGTGTCCGCAGAGATTTATCCCATTCCTTTCCAAGAATTTCAAGGTCATGGAATCTCACATTGTTTGCTAGATCTGCAGTTTCACTTCGCAGTGTGTTTGGCTGTAGGTTTGCCTGGTACCATCAAACCCTGCCTGCTGAACTCCAAGATGGGAGGGACGGCTGCTGGTGAGGTGTTGGGGCAGGGCGCTTTTCCTAAGCACTCATTTCTTAATAAACACATTAATAACTTGGAAAGCCTGCCCGTGCAATCTGTTCAGACTACATACTCCAGTGCTCCAGAACGAGGCTGCCCTAGAATGCAAAATCAGATAGCACTGGCCTGGAAATTTCTTCATAGACCATGAAAGTCATAGATTATTGTCAGCTGCCCCTAGAGACCATTAAATTTGACAGGTGACCAATAAACAAACAAGTTCAAGGCCCAGAGAGGATGACTGACCTCGCCCAAGGTCATCACAGCAAGTGTGTGGGCGGATTCTGTCATTTTTATAAACATGAAAGATTTATTTTATGTGTACAAGTGTTCTGCTTGTGTGTATGTATGAATACGATTTGTGTGCCCAGTCCCTATCAGATCTCTCTGGAACTGGAGTTTACAGTGTGAGTTGCCACGTGGGTGCTGGGAACCAAGCCTGGGTCTCTTACAAGAACAGTGCTCTTAACCACTGAGCCATCTCTCCAGCACCCTATAGCCTGTTTGTTTTTATCTCAGATCTTCAGAGCCTTTTCAATCTACCATTCTTTCTAATAGATGCAGTAGACACAGACTCTAAGAGAAGGGGCTTTTTATGAGAGTGTGTGCATGCACATACCTGTGTGTGTGTGTGTGTACCTATGGATACACGTATGTACGTATGGGGGAATGGCTATATACATTTGTGTATATGCACATCAAGGTCAGGTGTACTGCTCTGTCACCCTCTGCCTTATTCCCCCGGAGACAGGCTCTCTCACAGAACCTGGAGATATTTTTCAGCCAGGCTAACAGCCAGCTGGTCCCAGAGATTCTCCTACCTCCACTCCCCCCACCTCCAGTGCCAGAGTTACAGGCATATAGGGGCATGCCTGGCTTTTACATGGGTGCTGGAAATCTGTAGAAAGTGCTCTTAGACACCAAGCTATCTCCCTAGCCTGGGATAAGAGTATTAAAAAAAAACATATTTTTTTTTCAGTTATACTTTGTTGAGCATCTGTATGTGGCTCAAAGAAACTCGGTGACACCAGTGCTACTGCAAAATCTCCATTTAACAGATGGGTGTCCAGAGCTCAGCTTGTCTTGTGCACAAGGTCGCAAAGAGCATAAATGGTCTCCTGACCCCAGCACCAGTTGTCTGAGTTTCTTACTCTCTTCCTTCGGGGCCCAACACCCCGAAGGAACTCATCTCTTCCTTAGGGTTCCATGAGAGCAGAACTGATCATCCAGTGAGACTATGCCTTATGCAGAACTGTCTCCCACACCTGGCAGGCCCTCTGCAGCCTCACAACAGCCCTCTGGGGCAGTCTGGACTAAAGGCCCCAAGGAGCTAAGGTCATGGTCCAAAGGCGCACAGCAAGACACACAGAACCCGGGATCTTCTGCTTGGAATGATCCAGACACCTGGCAGTTGGAAGCATGCCAAGGTAGGTGCAAAAAGGATTAATATGAGACCTGCATTAAGGTATTAACATTAAGGATTGCTATGAGATCTCTAGGGTCAGATGGCCTATGTTCAAATCCTAGCTGGCCAGCTTCTTTACCGTATGACCTTACACGAGTTCACTTACCTCTGTGGCCTCAGTTGCCAAACAGGGATGCTAAAACAGTCCAGGGAGGCTGGATGAGTCAGCTAGGGTCAAGATGGCTGTTCAAGGACTATGGCTTAAGTACAGAGCATTTGCCTAGTATGTCTGACACTCTGGGCTGCAGTTCCAGTACTAGAAAGTAGGATGGGGTGGGGAGCAGTCCTGGTCCTATGACCTGCCCTCCCCACCTATCAGCCTGGAATGGGGAGGTTAGGTACCTGCAGCAGAGGTTGGGGTGATTCATGGATAGAGATGATGTGTGTGATCTTATTCCGGCCTAGCTGATCAGGGTCTTTGGCATCTGAAAGAAACAGGACGCTTGAGCCACATTGGCAGATGGGACTAATTTATTCCTAAGAGCCAAGTGCAGAGAAAGCCAGTGCCCAGCTTGCCTCCTCACCCCTCCCTTCAGCTTGCCCCCCACCCGCCCGCTGGCTTGCCTGTTCCTTCCCTGCCTATGGGGCACCCATCAGAGATGGGCTGGTGTTCCCCAGCTCTGTGCTGTTCTTCTTCCCATCCCAGACCCCTATCTCCCTAGCTCATCCTTGGACTCAGCAATTCTACTTCTAGGACTCTGTGGACAGAGCGGTTGGTTACACATGGGAGGCTGCACATGGATGCTGAAGTTCTCTGCAGCTCTAGTTATTGCAGAAGCAGCTCCATGTTTGGAGCAACTGAATGTCAACCAAAAAGGGACAGAATGAGAAAAATAAGAACAACTGTACTTTGGACTCCTGTGCCACAATTAAAATGGTCCCCAGGAGCTGATACATGAGGATGTCGCCAATATATATTTTAAGTAGGACATGTCACTTTCTGGACAGCATGTAGAATGAGGTTCCATTTGTTTTAAATATTCCATCTGGATCTACAATATATGACAAAATGCCCAGGACTACACCCCTTAGGACTGTCAGTGGTCATCTCTGGGGAGTGAGATGCGCCAGCATGTACCTTTTATAACTAGGATAAATCACACACAGTCCTTATTCCCATACACCTGCTTCCTCATTCACCAAATACTTCCCATATGCCCGCTATGTGCACTGAGCCTGGGGTCAACCTCATGGCTCTTGTCCTGGTAGAACTAACACACGACTAAGCTGAATCCTCTCAGAAATCAATGTGGGAGGAGCTGCTGAGGAGGCTCCTAGGGAGGAAGGAGCCAGGGCTGTGGGGTGGGTCACCTGCGTCTTCTCTGTGATTTTTCCACCTTGGGTCCCCAGGCCTTGAGCCAGCCTGTCTCAGCACATTTTCCACCACAAAGTCAAAGGTCTATGTCCAGATCTGGCTACTGACCATCAGCCTGGGGGGCCTGTGAAGGCAGGGTTGGGGAGGGCACTGCCCCTCCCCCACAGAGGATTGTGGAAGGGATAGTGGAGAGAAAAAGGCAGAAAACCTGCAGGTTTGCCACCCCCTGGCTTGAGGCCGCCTGGTGGTTCCACTCAGGACTCTGTTTATGGGAGCTGGTCCAACATCCTTTTCAGAACCCCAGCTTAGCCATACCTCCAGACAGACCTCAACAAAAACTTATAGAAGAGCCCTTGGGGGCTGGTGGGCAAGGAGACCCTGAGCCCTTTGTGCAGGCCTTAGCCTGTTGGTGAACCTTGGGGAAAGGCTGAACTGGAATCTTTCCAGCCTGGGGACTGCTTGCTCTTGCACCCCCAATCCTTCTTGAGTTTTTTTTTCTCCCAGTCTGGCATCCTTCCCCGCCCCCACCTCCATTCTTGAGAGCGTCTAAGTTGTGTGGGCCTGAGTGTGAACAGTGGACACAGGCCTGGGACAGGCTGAGTGCCAAGGCCTTGGGACAGAGTGGAAAGTGCTCACCAATGAAGTTTCCAAGGTAGAGTCCAGGAAGTACCTGGAGGAAGGACAGCAGGGGTCAGGGGGCAGGCTGCACCCCTTCCCACCCATGGTAGCTGGGGCCCAGCAGCTCTTCTCTATTGGTGATGGGACCCCAGGAAGCCATCTCCCTGATAGGTCTGGGTGCTGCGTGAGGGGTCTTGGGCCTCTGGCAAGGATGCAAGAACAGGCAATCAAATTAACCACAGGAGGGGTCAGGAGAGTACAGCTTGGGGATAGATAGAAGAGGAGGGATGGGTAGAAAGTCCCAGGTAGAGATCAGAAAGGGGCACAGAGTGAGCCCCCGACAGAGGGGATTGAGGCAGGCACAGGTGGAAGGCCATGCGGAGCAGAGCTACAAGAACAGAAGAGACACCAGAGTCCAGCAATCTCAGACCCACACAGACACAGCGAGGCACAGAGAATAAGGCGCTCCCAGAGACACCAGCGAAAGACACAGCAAGAGTCAGAGTCGCGCAGAGGACAGACAGGCACAGGCGGAGTCAGAGAAAGGCAGAGGCAGTCTCCGAGGGCAGCGTGACAGAGATGTGGCATACATCTCGGAACGGGAGCAGAAGGTCAGCGACCCGTTCTGGGCCCGGCCGCGGGGCGGGGACGGCCAGGCGTAGCGGGGGTTCCCCCTACCTTGGTCATGCCATTCCCCATGATCCCGAGGCCGGGTGCCCCGGCGCACCCCCAGCTCGGCGCCTGGAAAGCGCTGGGTTCACAGCTGTCCGGCTGGCCCAGGCCCAGAGCCTGCAGCCTGATGGGGAACCAGGGGCTCGGCGTCCGCGGTCCTGCCCAGCCTTTCCCAGTCGCCGGTGCCACCGCCCGCCGACCCCCGGCCCCGGAGGAAAGTGATGGAACCGCTGCCGCTGCCGCCGCCGCCGCCGCTGCCGCAGGCTCCCCCTACCCCCTCGGTCATGTGGGGCCCCCCTCCCCCGTGGGTCGTGGCGGGGGGCCGGACAAAGCCCCAGTGTGCGGGGCCCACGGCCCGCGGGACAACGGCAGCTTGTTGCGGCCGCGTGGGACTCCACCTCCGGAGGCGGGGGCGGGGCGCTCCCCCCACCCTGGCACCGTCAGGCGCGGCGATGGAGGGGAATGTGGTGGGGAGCCCCCATCGAGGTCCAGACACTCAGTTTGCGGCTGTACCTGCACCTGCCCGCGGCTGAGGGCAAAGCAGCCAGCTTTTCCAGCCTGGGTTTCTTTAGTATGGAGGTTGGACTCATTGCTAAGGGCTCTGCTGTTCCGTTTTTGTTTGGGACAAGAAATAAGAAAAAAAAAATTTCTTCCATTCTATCCCCCAGCTCATGAAGCCATCCTAGCAGCCATACTCCCCCTTTCCCACGTATCCCCCATCCACGTCTACTCATCTGTTCTTTCCATTTACCCATCCATTCATTCACCTTCCACCCATCCATCATCCGTCTGCCTTCCCCTCCATTCATGTATGCGTCAGTCCACCCGTTCACTCATCTCTCATCTCTCTCCCTTCCCATCCATCCTCACATCATCCATCAGTCCACTCGTCTCTTAACCTTTCTCTCTCCTACCTATCCTTCAATATACTCTGGTCCCCAGGAGATGATGCCGCGTGGGTAAGTCTACTAGGCCCCCAGGCATAACTGCCATTAGAGGCCTGAAGAAATCAGCAGTAAATGTGGAGGAGAGGGAGGGATAAAAAGGCTCCAGTCACCCGGATCCTGGCTCAGAAAACTGCAACAAGATGTCCACAGTTCAGCCCGTGCTCACACTTACTTGTTGAATAATCTGAGACCGTCCCCGCTGCGACTTCAGCTGACGCCATCTGCATAGGCATGCTAAACGGGCTTAGGCACCTGTGGGGACCGAACAGAAACAGCTGCGCCTGCTTTGTGCCTGTGGCCGTCACAGCTGTCCTTCTAAGTGACTGCAGGGGCCCTGTTCACACGGGCAGGGACAGAGAATCTGTTTAAGTGCAATTGGAGAAAAAGAGATCCATTCTTTAGGTTTCTCCCTTCCTTGAGTTCACAGTGAATGTGGGGTTTCTGGCTCAGCGTTCTTTGTTTTCATAAAACACAAATTAGTCCACAAATATTTAGCAAGCAGTAGGGACTAGGGCCACATTCGTGGGATAGGGTAAAAGCAGTTCTTACCTTAGGTAGGGAGCCGTCTAGACCTCAGTTTCTGAAGCTGTGGGTTTGGCCCAAACTGTATGTGTGATGGTTGTGAAAATGTTGCCAGCAGTAAAAGTTTCTAAATAGGTAATGATTAAACATTCCAAAGTAGCCCCCTAGTGAGTCTGGGGTCTTTCAGACAGCAGTCACCTGTCTCACGCCACGTAATACCCCTGCAGTCTTGTTTTTGAATCTGCTGCCAGGTCCATACCACCCATGAACTACAGGGAACACCTCGGGCCAGAGTTGAGATTCTGGTGTGCTAAGAACTGCAGTGACTTTACTGTACAGACTCCTTAATTATCGGGGGAAAGACTCAACATTTTCCTGCCATCATTCCTCAACATGTGTCAAACTAAAGTATCTTCAGATTATGTTACATTGAAATGTTTTTTTTAAAAATGCTGATCGAGTTCCTGAATTCAATTTCCTAAGAATTATTACATGAATTTTGGATTGGGATTAGGACAGATTTTCCTGACATTTGTGCTACCTATTTCTATAAAGTGGCATTCTCAGCACTGATGATTATAACATTAAAATATCAAACCTGAAAAATATCCTATGGAATCAAATATTCAGCCAACATTTAGTTTTTTATGCAGAAATTAAAGACGTACATGATCTCATTAGGATGCATATTTGTTAGAGGCCTTTATATGTGATAAAATTTCTTGTAGTTTAAACATATTTTAAAATAAATTGTTTTATGATTTATTATCAGTAAATGTTTGATTTGTATACCTATTGGATATGCTTATATGCCCAGGAGTTCTTTCTTAAGAGGAAAAAGGGCTGGATACAGCTCAGCTGATGGTATTTGTCTGGCAGACATGAGCCCTGGGGTTTGAACCCCAGCGTCGTGTTCTTGTAACCTTCTGCAATCTAACACTTGGTGTTGAGATGGCAGGATCAGAACAGCAAACGTGAGGCCAGTCTAGATTACAAGAATCCCTGTCTCGAAGCAAAGAAACCCAAACCAAAAAGCGGCAGGGATCAGAAACGGAAAAAATCTAAAAGGCCTTGGGCCTGTCCCTCCCATGAGGTACAACATGTGTACATGTATAAAGGGAAAATTTCCAGCACTCACATGAAGACAGTGGATGCAAATTAATGGTTGATAAGGTTTTGGTTTAATTCAGTGTATCCAGATACTATCATTCTAGTCAGTGTGTAGAAATTATTGTCAGTGTGTAGAAATTATTGATGAGGTGTTGAGTCTACAAAATGTAGTGTATGGCGTCCACTTCGGGCTCGTCTCAGATGTGTGGCAGATGCTGGTAGCCTCTTGTGCTGGATATCAACAAAACTCCCATCCCAGATCTAAGCAAGAAGGCCAAAGAAAACTGCCAATAGACAGATACTGCACTCACTGAAGGCCACAGCTGATAAACAAAGCAGGGACAGCCAAGAGAACTTCTCTGAAAGGCAACATTGGAGCTGAGAGCTGACGCAGCTACTGCAAGAACAGAGAGAACAGAAAGACAGCACCATAGAGACCTGTGCTTGGGAGAGGGTGGCCTGCAGGCAGAGCAGGTACAGTCAGAGCAGAGGGAGCTGAGGCAGGGGCATGACACAGGCTGAAGAGCACAGTCAGGTCCCCTGCATAAAGAACCCTCCATGGCACAATTAAGCTTAGCATTGGTTTCTCTTCTGTGGAACAGAAATCTGTAACATGAGGGCCGGCTTGTTGGGGTTTCTGTCCCGCCTGGTACCCTACAGCCGGCAAACCCCAAAGAAAATCACACACAGGACTCCATAAGATTATAAACTGATTGGCTCATTAGGTCAGGCTACTTATTAGTTCTTATGACTTATCTTAACCCATTATTCCGATCTATGTTAGCCATATGGCTTGGTATCTTTTTCAGCTGGGCAGGTTACATGTTGCTTCTCTGGTGGTCTGCGCAGGAGTGGCAGAGGAACCTCCCTGCTTCCCAGAATTCTCCTGTTCTCATTGCATCACCTCTACTTCCTGTCTGGTTTTCCCGCCTATACTGCCTGCCTGGCCAATCAGCGTTTTATTAAAATATGATTGACAGAATATAGACAATTCTCCCGCATCAGAAATCCAAATGGAAACTTTAACCCAGGGTCCATGACATCTGGTTTGAAGGGTTTAAGTCCTTCACTGTGTCCCCCACTAGCTCTCCTCTTAGGGAAGCCATCAAGGGGGCCTCGGTAGCTGTGCAGGTGGGAGATGAAGACAACGTGGGATGGGGCAGACAAAGAGGCTGCAAAGAGGGGGCACTCGCTATGTGCGACTATTTAAGGGCATGGCTGATACGGTATGCAGACAGAGGCAGGTAGGGAAGGAGGGGACTCCTAGATTCCCTGACCTGAAAAAATCATTGTGTCTGCCACAAAAAGGAAGACATCAATAATTCAACATGTGGGTATTGGATGTCAAGTTCTAGGTGGAAAGTCACACCAAAGATGTGCTGATGTTGGCTTGAGTCTCCCAGAAGGCCTGGCACCCTGACGGCACAGAGATGCTGGTAAGTGGCGTGTGGAGGTGTGCACTTTTAATTACAGCACTTGGAAGACATGCAGGAGAATCAGGAGTTCAAATCCAGCCTAGGCTACCTTGTAAACTTGAGCCAGTCTAGCCTATGTGAAATCTTGTCTCAAATACATACATCCTGGGGCTGTGGGGATGATGAAGGACCTCGGAGACAAGGTCCTGTATCAGAGCCCTAGGTGGGAGAGCTGATTTTCTTAGGTTATTTCATCTATAAAGGAGCAGCCCCAGTAGCTCTTTGTGTCCCTGCTTAGACTTAGAGGGAATGAACAAGTCACATATATGAGAGCCCTCTGCATGGTAAAAACCCCAAGGAGAAAAAGTAAGGAAGTTACTAGACATCGCACATTTAATAGCTATGACTGTTTGCTCTGCGAGGGAGAGCTATGGAAAAGCTCTACTTCCTTAAATGAATCACGAAGTGTGACTTTACAGAAATTCAGCTAAAACACAGGTCTCCCCAGGAACCGACTCATGCTCCCCGGAAATTGACCCATGGCTCGCCGTGGTAAGCAAAAACACAGGCCTCCCTGGAAACCGATCCATGCTCCCCGGAAACCCATCCATGCTCCCTGTGGTAAGCAAAATGATGGCTCTCAAAGATGTCCACATGCTGGCCGCTGTCAACTCTGAGTATGTTGTGTTATATAGGAGGGGGCAGGTTAAGGCTGGAGCTGGATGAAAGTCGTGAATCAACTGGGACGAGGTGGAAGGATGCTGGTGTGTCCAGGGAAAGCCTGATCGAATGTTCTCACAGGTGACAGGGAGGCAGGGATAGGGTTGGAGGAAGCAGAGGAACGGGGGTCTGGTGTTGAGGGTGGAGGGGAGCTGTGGAGAGACAACTGTGTTTCTGAGCTGTTTTTCACATCTATACCTAGGCCAGCAAGATTCCTTGAAAAGATTCAAAATACACTTCAAAGCCAGCTGACGTCTTTGGAAATGTATAGCTGAGCTTGGAAGGCAACTAATGGGGGAGAGAGAGAATTTCTACTTCAGTAAGAGTGGGGAGGGACCCAGGTGTGTCACTAACCAATTCATTTCCTGGCACAAACAAGAGATTTCAGGAGTCGCTGCTGGGAATTGTAAGGCAACAGAAATTACGTTTTTACGTTTTTGTTTTTTTGTTTTTTTGTTTTGTTTTTTTTTTTTTTATAGCTACCGGAAAGAACTCAGCTGTGTGGACACCTTAATTCATCCAGTGAGATCCATTCCAGGCTTCTTCTCGGAACCTTAAGATAACACCTTCATGAGATTTTTAAGTCACCAAGAGTGTGTGCGAATTACAAGTGGCAATCAGAAGCTCTCTATTGCCTTTAGGAAAAACCATCCTGT